AGCATTCAACTTAATCAACTTATAAGAGTGATCAACTTGACAGGATTCACTGTAACTTCTTTTTGTCAAATTTATAGGAAGTGAGTAATTTAGATAAACATTAAAATTAAATTCAATAATGCTTATAAGCTTTGATGTTGTACATTTTAGTATGTAATTCATTGTTAGAAAGTTATTAGTTAAAGTAAAAGTATAGCAGTTTAAATTCAAGATAGTTTCTGCTTATAATTTCTAATATTTTTAATAGAGATATGTTTTATTTTGTTCCTCTTTTAAAAATGTTATATTTCTTGCAGAGAAATGGATAGAAAAGATCTCAGGCACAAGGTTCGTAATAAAAGAGATGAACCTAAGGAACCTAGAATGGGTTCAGCTTCTCCAAAGGTAATTTTTTTTCTTTCTTTAACAACTTAATCTTTCTATCATCACATTTACATATTTACTTACGTTGATTTGTTATTATGAGCTTGTTTGTTAACTTGTAATAAGTCTTTGGCTAATCATGCCATGATGACAAATTATCAATAAAGCATTTTCATTACTTTTAAAAGTGTTTATAATTCTCTCTATTAAATAGATATTTTAAAAATTTAGCTAAAAAGGGACATCTGTTATTTGACTGTTGTAAATAATAGTTTTCCACGAGATTTAGTAACGTAAATTAGGAATACCATATCCTTTTTTTTTAAGACAGTCAATGCCAAATGTTACAAAAAAACGCTACATTTAAAAACAGTTGCATGTATTACAGATGTTTTATTTTTAAAAAAGGGAATAACTAATGGTTGGGTGCATCAGAAAATTTTAACCAACTATTCTAATACTAAATCAGATCTTGTATTTTATGAAGTTATTTATTTCAGGAAAGCTTTTAGACTTTTTTTTTACAATAGTCTTCTTTATTTCCTGACACAAAATTTGTATCATGTCTTCATAATATTTGAGATAAACATTTCCTTTTGTAAGTGCGAAACATTTACCAGTTTTTTTTAAAATTATGATATTGTACAAATTATTCAGTATTGTTTGCTACTTCAATTAATGCTAGAAGTTTTTTTTTATAGAAAAAAGGTAGCAAGCGCAGCAATAGTAGGAGTAGAAAAGGTGAACATGAAAGTAAAATAAAATCTACAGTTGTTGTTACTAGACATAGGTCCCCTGGTGCTGGAAATACTGAAATTGCTGATGCTAAAAAAAAAGGTGATGGCAACTGGGAAGATGATTCTGATGGTCTGTACTACACTCTTTAAGTATTTTTATTTATTGAAACTTTAATATCTTCATGGAGGTTGTTCTAATATTATTATCAAGATATAAATCAATGAGCATCTTGAAGAATATTATATTTTTGATCAAAAATTATTTGTTATTTGTAGTGTCACTAAGTAATCCTGATAATATTTTTTTTAATGGAAAGAAAACTTTGAACATTTTTTGGATTAAAATGTGATTTTTTTTGTTTTTTTTTTTTGTTGGTGGTGAATACCTATCTGAACAATAACATCTTCTAGCTTTTCGTTATTAATTGTATTCTTTAAAACGTCTGTTAAATTTTTCTTAATATCCTTGAATCACATAGATTCAATCTACAGTGCTATCATCAAAAATTCAAATTTGTCTGCCACTTCAACTCAGTCAGGCAGGAATTAATATTGAAAAAATTTAACGTAGTCATATAAATATTTAGGGCAACTTGCATATCATAAATATAAAGTTACGCGCAAAATCTTTATTTTGTTTAAATTATATTTAAATTTTATACAATCAAACTTTATCTTTGCTCAAAAATAAAGAAAATTTCGAAAAATAGTAAAAAGATGTTTATGCCCAGTCCAATAAAGAAATTAAAAGGAAAAGTTAAACTTGTAGATGATAATATCAAAATAAAATCTTTTAATTTTAAAAGGAGGAATTTACTGAATTGTAATATAATGGTGTTGAGATTTGTGCTTATTTAAAGTTCCTTCAAATAAAGTTCATGATCATACCATCATAGGTGCTTTGCAGACAAATGCAGTCATAATCTGAAAAATGAAAATTAAGTGTCTATTTTTCAGTATCATTTAAAAAAAAAAAACTTATTTTTTATAAATGAAGGTTAAAAAAAAATCTTTTGTTTTTTGTTTTACCTTTAATTTTTTACTTGTCCTTGGCTTTTTCTCTTAGCAAAGTTTCTTCCGTTTGTTGTTTTTTGTTTAAAAAAAACTGAGGTGGTAAATAATTTGCTGATGCCATGCAGTTTCTGCTGTCAGGTATTTCGGTAGCACTCTTAAGTATATGAGTATATTTAACAGCATATGATTTTATTACCTTAGAGAAGACATTATTATTTTTTTTACAATTTCTTAAAAATTGCCGGTCAGTTTCCTGTATAAAAATATGTAGTTGAATTTTTCATTTTAATTTAATTTTATTGAATTATTTGTCTTGTATTCAGGCGTCATTCTAACTCTATGAACATATTGATGATTTTTTATTTACAATTTATTTTTTTTAACCAGAAAACAAAATTTCTTCATTCTTTCCTACTAATAATAAAATCACTTTATATTTTCTTTACCAATTAAAAACCTTTTAGTTTATTTATTAAATCATAAAATTTGAATAAAGTCAACTTTTGAAATAAAGATCAACTTTTCACACACTAAGAGTAATTTTTAATGGTTTAAAGGATAGGCTGTAATTATGCAAATTTGTTAATGTTGCCAATGAATTTCAAAATCAGATTTGAAAAATATATATTTTCTCTGTATAAACATGTCTCTTTTTTTACTCAATATATGGTAGATAGTCACAATTTGGAAAATATGTTCCAAATCGAAACTTATCTTTTCCCTTACATGTCTGTGGAACACTGTATAGGAATCAAAACATTTTTGCACACAACTGCAAAATTATTTATCCAATAAAAAAATTTTATTACTAACATTCAACTTAATCATGATCAAAAAAGATTTGAATTACTAAGTATACAAATTTTTACATTTTTTAAAACTATACAACTTTAAAGACAAAATCCAAAATTTTAGGAAGTTGTTTTAATAATAGTTCCCAATGATAATAAATAGTTCCTAAGCAATAAATTCTTTTAAAAAATATATTGGTACATCTTTGAATCTGAGTTTTTGACTTAATTTATAGGTGGCACAATTTATATAATGTATTTAAAATCTTCTGCCATTAATTTTAGGGCATAAAAATCTTGTCATTAGATCAAAAGTTATTTAGGTTGATCTAATTTTTTTATTCAATTCTCTGTACTTTATTTGTTAAATTTCCACCTGGTACAAAAATGTGTTCTGTGTTACTTAAAAGAAAGTAATAACTTAATAGTTTTATGGAAGTCATGTTCTTTTCTTTTTTTTTAAATTATCTTACAAAGAACATCTTACAAACAATTTAGAAAACTGTTTTCTTTTTCATTAATTATTTATTTCATTTATTTGTTTGCAACAAAAGTTACTTTTATGGTCATCTACTTAGCTCTTCGATTGAAATTTAATTAAAATAAACTTTAAATTTTTTTTCCATTTTCTTTTCTTTTGTTATATGTACTTGTACTGTATTTTTTATTCACTCTCCAGTGATTTCTTTTCTTTCATTGGATTTAGTTTATAACAGCATTTGCATTGCATATCTTTATAGATTGGCCGATGGATGCTGCTCAATTAGATTATAAAGAAGAGTTGACCCTGGAAAGAAAGAGGCAGCAACTTCAGAGAGAGTTGGAATTAGAACTGCAAAAAGAACGCATGCTAAATGAAAATGTTACAATAACAAAAACCGTAAATTTATTTAGAATATTTTTTTTCACTTCTATTCTTTGTTTAATTTAAAAGTAAATCATATTTCTTTGTGTATAATATAAAATTGATAACATTAAAGAGGCACACACTAATATTACAAGCATTACTAATGAATTTATATTTTATATCATAGCGAATTTTTAAAATTTTTGGCATTAAACTTTTAATTTTATTACATTCAGAAAAACTAGCTCAAAAATTTACTTGTCATCATTTAATGAATTTCTCTGTTTAAAAAAGATAAATCTCTTAAAGAATTTATCTTCTTTTGTTAACTTCAAGTTTCATGACCCAGAGGTGCCCTGATAATTTTGTTATGTTTGTATTATTGTTTTCCCTCCTTTGTTTTTGCACCAGACATAGTTTCTAGCATCCATTAATTTTGTTCCCTTGAATGTGTACAAACAAAACCATTTTACCTTAAATTTGAGGCAGACTGACTGCATCCAATTATTGTGTATCCAAATCAATCCATAAAATAAGATAGAGGAAGACTACTTTGCTGTGATTGATTTTGTACACATATTAATTTATATCTTTATTTTGACATATATTTCTTATTCTTAATCTTTTTTTCAATGATAAGTAAAGTTGGCTGCCTTAGTACCTTTCCTTAGCTATTTATTATTATACATTGAAGTAGCAAAAAAATGGCCTTGGTATGTCGGATTATTTTACTTTTATAAGCCTTACATTAAACCAACGAAATTTTTATATTTTAAGTAATCAAAATCTTATAATCTTCTTTCAATATTCAGTAAAGGTAACAGTACAAGTAGCACACTTTTTCAGTAACAGCACAAGTACTTCAAGCAGTTCGTGATCTTACTTTTAAACTGCTATATATAATTCTCTATATTATATTTAATGATTAAATAATCAGCTCCAATCTATGATTCTGGATCTTATGTTTAATGGTAAGGGCATACGCTTTCAATTTAACTAGACTAACTCCTGATTTAATGAAAATTTCTCTAGATTTTTTTTATTATATATATATATATATATATATATAAAATAAGTTCAAAAGGAAGATAAAACAAAGGAAAATTACAGACATATGAAAAANAAAAAAAAAAAACAACTGGAGGAAGAAAACAAAGGATAAAATTTTTATAAATATATATATATTTCAGAAAATTTCTTAAAATTTTGGAAGTTCTTATAAAAGTACCTATTAGAGATTAATAGAGTTTTTACTGATTAAATTGAGTGCTTAAAAATTTTAATTAATTCTACTAAAGAATGAAGTTATATGAAGGTTAGAATTTTTTATTTTCAAACAAATTCAAAAATGCTTATTTTTTGTTAAACTTAAAATCTTTAACATGCATGTCATTCAACAAAAGGGTGCCACTATCTAGGATAAATGGATAAATTAAATGCTTATAGCTATTTAAAATTATGAATTTTAAGACTATATTTAACATTATGAAATTTATATTTTAGTCTATTCAATAGCCTTCATAAATGTGATTTATTCCTCTTAATTAAAATTTGCTGTTATTCGGGTTTGTTATAATTTTCATTAATTGTAAAAAAATACCTAAAAATTCACTTTGTGGAATTTTTTCTACGTTATTTAATAGTTTTAATAAAATATTTATTACTACTGCATTTATTTCTTTTCATGTTAGCAGTTATGCTTATTTAACATGAGCCCAAGTTTCCTGAAAGGATAATTCCACCACTCAAATTTTTTCACTTGCAAGTTCTGGGATCTTTATCTTTTAGCAATTTAAATGTTTTGTTCCTTTTCATAATTATTTTTTTTATCAGAACTGTCTTAGTCATAGGTAAAAATTTCAGCATCTCCCTTAACTGCTTGCATCTCTCTTACTGCCTTTTATTAATTTTTCTTTTGAAAAAAATCTAATTGAGACATGTAAACAGACAAGTGATATGTACTAGCAAGCTCTTTTAGTTACAGGGCTTTTATTTCTACCCCTGTATAAGGTATAAAAATACCACAATCATATCCTCTCAATAGTTTTTGTATATTGCACAAATGTAAATATAATATGATTAACTTGCCTGCTATCACTATCCGCTTTATGGATCTAAATAGCTAAAGAAACTCAAATTGCTATTTCAACAGTCCTGCTTTACGAATAATTTGTTTTCTTGCTGATATGCTAGCACGCAATGAAAATATTGCCAACATTGCATTACAAGGAAGAGCCTTTTAAGTTATTATATTATTAGTTATTTGAGCTTTTTATGAGAAATTTTTTATAGTGCTGTAGATTGTTTAAAGAATGGACAAAGAAGCCCCTGGTGAATAGTTGATTATTAGATTTTAAAAAGCTGCCTAATAAATTATATAGTTTTGTGACTATTAACATAAATTTCATGGTAGACCTTTTTCTTTTTCCTATAGGTTTCTTTCAGTGGAAGTAGCAGTAGTAGTAGTAGCAGTGATAGTGGTAGTATTTCAAGCAGTTCTGGGTCTTCCAGTAGTAGCAGTGAAGAAGACAGCAATGAGAGTACTTCTTCCTCTTCATCTTCTTCTTCCAGTAGCCCATCTCTCAAAAAGAAAAGCAAAAAGTCTGGTGCCAAAGCTCAACTTTCTAAGAAGTCTTCAAAAGGAAGAGTTAAGGATGACTACGATAAAATCAAAAGCAGTAGGGCTGGGAAAGGTCAAAAGCATCGATCACCTTCTCCTCTGTTTGAAAAACCTGGTCGTAAAAAAGGTCACGACAAAAGAAATGCGACGTCTGTGTCACCAAAAAGAAAGAAGGTTGAAGGAAAAAGTGAAAGTGGTGCCAGATCTAATTTGAATGTGAAGCTCAAAGGACCAAGAACTCCTAGTCCTGTGCCAGTTTCTCGAAAGCAGAGGCAATGGTAATTTTTTCGGAGCATATTTATATTGAAAATAATAAGATTCTTTCTAAAATACCTGAAAACAGAATTTCTAAAATAAACTCAACAACCCTAAAAAACTTAACATTCGTCAAATTGATTACTGACTTTTGCTAGTTTGAGTTGTTACTGTAACATTTTAAAATCTTTTATGACTGCAAACATTAAATTTTATCTTTCATCTATGCTTTGATGAAAGTGCTAATATTCTATGCTAATCAGTTTGTCATAAATTAAAGAATTGTAAAAAATAAATTAATTTTTAAATTGTAATTTATCAGTCAAATATTCTGAGTTATGAGTTTTTTTTTGGATCTTAATATAATCAATACTGAATAGAGCTTTTTAAAAAAGAATCCCATTGTTTTTGCCCCAATTGACTTCATTTCAAAAGACATTATTGTGCTTTTTTCCGATGATTTTCTATGTTGTTTTTTTTAAAAATTGGCAGGCTAAAGAAACTTCTTAACTGAAAAAAGTTTAGTTTGTATTGTAAAAATAGAGAACAATATAGTAAGGTGGCTATCTCTTTAAATAGGAAAATTAAACAAGAACTTCTGAAACAGGTATCAGTGTAATCAGATATTGTCATCAAGTTGTTTTTATTTATATTTTGTAACTTTTTATCTTTACCTTTAGTTCTGAATTCTTTATTCTCAATTCGCTAACATGAAAGCAGTTTGTTTTGTTTACAGAAAAGTGTTTGTTGGTTCATTAGCATTTTTTTATAGTATTGTTGCAATTTGACAAAGCATAGACGTAAGTTATTAGCAGTTATAATTTACATTTACTTTTAAGAAAAGTAATGATAGTCATAAGTAACAGCCCTGTAATAAGCAGAGTTCATTGTTTAAAATTAAAGTAATAAAAATTTCTCACCGTAAGGGATCAAAGTTCTTCTGCTGACAGCCGATCGGCCGAAGTTCAACATGGTCGTAATAAGAGGCACAAGAAAAAGAAGGATGCTCCTAAATCTGATGTGAGAACTAAAAATTTTTATCTTTATTTTTTTATGTGAGTTGATTGTTCTAAATACACTTAGATATATAATCTGCAACAACATTTACTTTCAGAAGCGGAAAGTTGATCGTGGCATCCCTACACCACCTCATCTAAGCAGTCCAAATCGCACGGCTCTCATGCCAATGGTACAGACTAAGAAATCAAAGCCTAGAGATGAATCAGGCAGCAGAAGGATGAGATCACACACACCACCCATGCTGGCACCTAGGTCTTCAGGAAACGGTTCTCAACCACCTGCCAAACAATTCGGCACCAATCGTTATTTCACTGAAGAAAAAACCATTGAAAGAAATCGTCCTGATGACCGAGGCAAACCTTATTCCAGAAAAGAAGACATTCTCCTCTCCCAGAAACAACGCAACGATAGCCGTGATCGAACTGATAAAAGAGGCCGAATCTCCCCCAGGAAGGATAATCGAAAAGGATCCCTTTCCCCTGTTAAAAATAGATATGAGGTCGATGTCAATCCCGTTGCATCTCGTAAATTGTATCCTCACGATAAGGATAAAGGGGATAGGCACAGACAGTCTCCTTCTCCTGTTAGATCTGACAGAAGGAGACCTCCGGGTGAGTTAGATAAGAAAAGAGACATTCGAGATCTGTCTCCAAGAGACCACGATCCTCGCAGAGATACCCGATACCAAAGTAACGAAGCTCACGGATACGAGAAGAGAGTCACTGAACCAAAAATAAAGCGTGTTGTTTCGCCTGATGTTTTGAAAAAGGGCAGAGATGATAGAGGACGTGATTATGCTCAGAAAGATAGAGGGATAGATTATGAATTCAACTCTTGGCAAGGAGATCATGTAAGTTATTTTCTGGACTGTTATAAATAATTGACTGGGGCAGATTATTATTATTTTTTTTTTTTAAGGAATAGATACTTGTAACGATTTTAAAAAGTTGGTTTTCTTACTGCAAAAAAATTTATGAATTATCTCATACAAATAAAATTTAGTGAGGTTCAATCTCCTGCGAACAAAAATTTGTGCGATAGGATCTCGTGCTGATAAAACATAGTTAGGAAGAATCTCATAATTTTGTACTACTTTCTGTTCAAATTATTTTTCATTTTTATTTTTTTTTATTAATTATAAATTGAATTAATTGAAAAAAAAAATTTTTTTTACTCATAGATGTGTAATTTTGAATGTAATTTATCTTTATTTTTTTTAAACCTAATTTTTTAAAATGCCAAACATTTAAAAGAATTCATAAAAACACTTTTTACTTGATGCTAAGACAAAAATTCACTGACATGAATACAATAATAAATATCATTATCGTTCTACTATTCATTATTAATACATTCGTTTTCATTGCATTCATTTTCATTATATTTACTATCATTCTGCATCTAATTTAAGCACTTTTTATGCATGTTTCAGAGGAAAAGCAATACAGCTGGCGGAAGGCGGTCACCAGAACTGAGAGGTCGCCAAGAGCCTTTATTGCCCCGAAACGATCGTTCAAGAGATGGTGATCAAGACAGAAAAAAGAGGAAAGACCGTGATGTCTCTATGAGATCGGTTGATGATGCAGAAAGATCTAGATTATCATCTCCTAGAAGGTTGGCTTTACTTTAAATCTAGATATATTTATCACTGTTTACTTGATTAATTCTGTATGACAATATTAATGCTCATGAAAATTTCTGGAAAAATCAGGTACTAAACCGTTGTTACACTTTAAAAATTATGTAAAAGCCAAAATAATATCTTCTGTAATTGTTCTACACACTTTGGTAAAAACATGAATCTACTCCAGTTAGCACTTTTGATTTATTGCAGCTCTAATTTTTATCACTTATCTTGAGTAATATTTTTTGTATATTAAAATGTTCTTTTGTAAAGCAATAATTACATATAAAATTTAATTACAATATTCTCTCAATTTTTACGATTTCTTTGATTACAGTCATTTCATGGCACTAAAACTTGTGTTAATGTCTATTTGTAAGTTTTTTATTATGAAAAATATTTTATAAAAAATCATAAATATATGGATACTTTATTCCATACTAAAACTAAGCTGTCTGCACAAAATTATTTGTGACTCAGAATTGATGAGGCACCACTGATAATAACTAAAAAATTTTTTTTACTTCTTACTAATTAACTTTAAGAACACCTAATGGTATGATTTCTAAGTGCATTCATTCATTAGCTGCTTATTCAATTCAACCTGCTGCAAAATATTGCCCAGTTTACACCCTTTTAAGACAAGCTTTTTTAAAGTTGTCTTACAAAAGTGCATACCTGCCTAGTCTCCTGTTTTTTAGCAAAGACTCCTTTATTTTACAACTATCTCCTGTATATTCTCAAATTTCTCCATATTTGTTGAAGAAATTTTTTTGATAATAAAATATCCGCTGATGTCAAAAATACTTCTCATATTCCTCAACAGATGGTGCTATTGCCAATATTTTAATATGTTAAGTGTTTATAGTTTAAGTAATTATAAATAATGATTTAAAAAAAATCTTCTTTAGTTTAAGATTTATTTACATATTTTTTGCTTCACTAAATGTAAGTGCTTGTATTATTTGCAATTTCAAATTTCTCTTTTTGACTTACGTGATCATGCATGATGTATCAAAACTTTCCTTGTAGCCTAAAAAAATGTCACTAGTAAAATCTCCCTTATTTTATTTCTCCAATGTTGGCGGGTATGTAAGTGGTTTTTACCATTTTGAAATTTTTTTTTCTTGTTTATCTGAGGTCTTCAAAATTTCCAATTCATTAACTTTTTATTCATAAACAAGTTCACCTTGCAATTGAGTGTCATTTACAAAAATCTGATCTCATTAAAATAAAACTATTCAATACTGAATAACAAGTAAATTATTAAATTCTGTGCCTTACTAAAAAATTATAAATTTAACTTGTGTTGCTATTTGTAATAAGTTTGCATTATAAATTTCCAGCATATTTTTTTTTTTAGAATTACCTATCTTGATTCCCAAATTTTTTTTCTTCAAGGTCACAGTCACCCTTGCACGGTCACCATGGTGTCCGAGACATTGAAACCCTAGGAGATTCTAGAAGCCGCATTTATGATTCTGACATCCCCCCTGGTGAGAGGGATTATGCCTATGGCTATGATCCGCTTCATGAGCATTACATTACCGACAGAATTCTGCCATCTGATTATGAAAGTGATGTCCTACGTGGTCCACCCCTTTATCCTTCTGATGTTTATTCTGAGAACCGATACCGCAAGGATCCAATTGACAGATATGGTCCTAGGGATGTTATATCCCCTAGAGAGATATTACCTCATAGGGAAATAATAAGCCTTGGAGGACGTAGTGAAGGTATTTCTTATTCATTGATTGATATATTTAAGTTTTCAAAATCATCCATTGACAGTCCTTGGAATGTCTTTGAGCTGTCTAGATTTTTCTGCTTTAGCATGGAGCAAATGGTTGGCTTAATATAAGGATGTTAATTTTTTTTTGGTGGAGTGTTACAAGAAAATAAAACTTTTACTTTTGCGGAGGGCAGAAGAAAAATTTAGCTTTCAAGAGCCATAATGAATTCAGTTTTATGATACTGTTGAAACTGCTATGAAAATCAACATGAAAGCTATTTTTTATTGCTAAAGTGTTGCTATTGGTAGTGCACTTTAGCATGTTATATGCAATTGTTATTATATATTCACAATACATTATGTAGAATAATGTAATGTAGAATAATATAATGTGGAATAATATTGAATAAATCATATAAGGAAAAACTTATGATATTTGTGGTATTAGATATTGTTTAAATAACAAAAAATACTTTTTTTCTTAAATTATTCTTTAGAGAGCAGTATATGAGAGATTAATTACAGTACTCTGTTAAAATGGAGAAAAAAAAAATTGTCTATTTTGCAGTCTTTGTCTTTATTAATTATATGTGTATTAATAATTAAAAATGTGTTAATGTGCATTAATAATTTAAAAAAAGCAAGTATGTATATAAAATTGTTTTTAATTTCAGTTAACTGAAAGTTGTTTGGATACTGTAGTTGAAAATCTGTCTAAATGATCTGCTGCTTGAATGTAAACGTATTGTACTTTCAGATTATCTTGGTGATGTTCCTTTAGACGATCGCAGTTATGAAGAGCGATGGCCCAGGGGAAGAGGAAGGGATGATTGGGATCCGTATGCTTCTGTTCCTCCTGCATCTTTACCTCCCCACGTTGCTGCAGGTATTTTCTTTCTGACTTCTAACTATTTACCTATCAATATATTGGTAATTTATTTAAGCGAAATACTTACCTTGAACTCGTCTTACGTGCTTTCTTGATAGCTCAGAAAATTCTTCAAATTGCTTTCTAAAGTTGGAGATAATTTGCATAGAGTTTGTCTTGCCTTACGGTAATTCTAATCTCATAATAAACCTTAGCAAAACTTTGATTTATTGTAACATTTTTGCATTGTGAATCTCAAATAGCTTTAGCCTTCAAGTCGGGAGAAACTGTAATGCTATGCAAAATCTCTCTATTGACTTAAATTTGTTCAATTATATATTTTTTGTTTTGTTTACTAATATTTTACATGTAAGACCCTCAAATTTATATCCACATCCAGGCAGAATTTTTTTTTCTGCCCTCTCACTTATGCATTACCTCTTTTATGTGCCCCTTTCATTTTATGCGACGGTATAAGGTTTTTGCTCATTTTATAGGAAAATAATGATAATTATCATTTGTTTATGATTGAAAATAAAGATTGAAAATAAATATTTCAATTATGCACCGAAATTTTTCTTAGAATAGCCAAAAATATTTTTTTTGTAGAAAAAAAAAAATTGAATTTTTTCGGAAGAAAGTTTTTAGTTCAAAAATTCCAGTGCCTAGCAATCTTTGTTACACATAAAATGACATATGTTGCTGAATCCAGTGAAATAGTTTCTTTTTCTTCCTCTTGCTATTTTTTCACCTTTCTTGTTTCTAGGAACACATTTTTTTTCTACAATTTTGAAAAGGCTGACTTATTAGTTACACCACTAACATTGTAAACCCATCCATCTTTAAGGACAGAACCTTTTCCCTTGCCAAGCTGTTAACTACTCCCATGTTTTGTAGAAAAAGGACATCTGAAATACAAAAAATGAAAGGGACCGTGGTCACTTGCTTGCAGTCAGATAGACATCTTGGATAAATAAAAGATGGCCTGTTAAGGAACAACAAACAACTGCTCAAACAACCTATTATGTAGCACAGGGGTTTCCAACTTACATGAGGCTGGGGGCTGCAATTAAAAACTCCGGCCAAATGGTGGGCCACTACTTTATCAAAATTTTATGTAGGACTCTTTTATGTTTGAAGGAACATTAAGTATCACTGTCAGATTTTTATCAAGTTGTACAAAACAAATGTATTGAATTACAAATTAAAATTAATAGTAGAGTTTTACGCAACATACACGATTGCTTTTGTATTTGAATAAGTATTTTCTTGGATGCAATACCTGAAAAAAAAAATTACGCCGTTGGTATGTTAAATTTCACAGAAACAAAGAAATTCAGTGTTTTTTAACGAAAGAAAAGTATTTTAAACCCTTATAGATTTTGCATGAAAATTGTCTGCAAAAAAATGACAACTAATATATTTTAGTTTGTGGGCCACAAAAAAAAAGCTCTGTGGACCGGATGCGGCCCATGTGCCGCCAGTTGGTAACCACTGATGTAGCCTGTTATGACAGAAACTTTTTTATCATGTATAATTCCGCCCTAACAATTATAAAACTTTAGTTTTTGATAAAGGACTGTTAAGTTAATTTCAAACTTATAGGGATTACTAATATTCAGTTATAATGAAGGTGATAAAAAATGTTCCTCCAAATAATTTAAGAGTATTAGAAGGTTTAGCCAGTATTTGCAGTTATATTCAGCTACTGAAAGCTATTTTTGAAGCCATAAACGTCTATTATGGATTATTTTGCAGGAAAATAAATTGTTATTAAGTATGTTAAAAAAAAATTTCTTCTGTTAGTTATTGTAAATACCAAACCATTATAAATGTTAACATTTAATCCTTAGGAATAATTTTATTCATACTCTCATTGCAAGTTATGTTGTATTTTAGAACTTTGAATGAGCTTTTCACTTATGTCTCTTTAACTTATGCTCTCTTTTCTATTGGTCCCTTAAAATCGTGCATAAGTGAAAGTTCACTGTACATACATATAGAAGTATATTATTAAGTTATTCTTTAATATATTAAGTTTAAAAAAATTGGGAACTCTAATTTCACTTTTGAATTTCTTGTCCTACCTAATTTATTTAGAATAAGTTCATTTTGTATAAAGCTTATCTTTTTATAGTAATTTTATCTATTTACTTCATTATGCTTTTATAAAATGAAATTATACGAATGAGTACAACAAACTGTTTTATTCTTAGAATGCAAAGTTTTTTTAAATTTTATATACATTAATCTATTGCTTATAAATGTGCAGTATTTCCTGACCATATTGACAAATTTATTTCCAATTGAAATTTTGACCTCTTTCTGAACTAAATAATTTAACAGGCGCAAAACTAAATAAAAGAACTTTAAAATACTATGTTTTAAAAAGGAGAAAATAATTTTTATTATTNTATTTTGCTTTTTTATATAATTATATGTGTATTAATAATTAAAAATGTTGTGTTCATGTGTATTAATAATTTTAAAAAAAGCAAGTATGTATATAAAATTGTTTTTAATTTCAGTTAACTGAAAGTGGTTTGGATACTGTAGTTATAAATCTGTCTAAATCATCTGCTGCTTGAATGTAAACGTATTGTACTTTCAGATTATCTTGGTGATGTTCCTTTAGACGATCGTAGTTATGAAGAGCGATGGCCCAGGGGAAGAGGAAGGGATGATTGGGATCCGTATGCTTCTGTTCCTCAAGCACCTTTACCACCCCACGTTGCTGCAGGTATTCTCTTCCTGATTTCTAATTATTTACTTATCAATACATTGGTAATTTATTTAAACGAAATACTTACCTTGAACTCGTTTTACGTGTTTCGATAGCTCAGAAATTTTTTAAAATTGCTTTGTAAAATGAGAGAGAATTTGCATAGAGTTTGTTTTGCCTTAAACGTAATTCTAAACTTAATCTTACCTCTTAGCAAAACTTTGATTCATTGCATTGTGCATGCATTTTTGCATTGTGAATCTCAAATAGCTTTAGCCTTCAATTTGGGGAAACTGTAATGCTATGCAAAATCTCTCTGTTGACTTAAATTTGTTCAATTATAATTTATTTTGTTTATTAATATTTTACATGTAAGGCCCTCAAATTTATATCCACACCTAGGTGGAAATTTTTTTTCTGCCGTGTATAAATACTGTGACCTCTCACTTATGCACTACCTCTTTTATGTGTTATTTTCATTTTACGCGATGGTATAAGGTCCCTGCTCATTATATAGGAAAATAATGATAATTATCATTTGTTTATGCAATGACACAGTTACAATGAAGATGATGAAAAAGTTCCTCCAAATTATTTAAAAGTGTTAGAAGGTTTAGCCACTATTTGTAACAATTTGCAGTTTTATTCGGCTACTGAAACTCCCTTTTCTTATCTGTATGAACTTGAGAAAACTATTTTTGAAGCCATAAACATCTATTATGGATTATTTTGTGGGAAAATAAATTGTTATTAAGTATGTTAAAAAAAATTTTCCTTGTATAGTTTAGTTATTGTAAATACCAAACCATTATAAATGTTAACATTTAATCTTTAGGAATAATTTTATTCATACTCTCATTGCAAGTTATGTTGCATTTTAGAACTTTGAATTAGCTTTTCACTTATGTGTCTCTTTCACTTATGCTCTTTTTTTCCATTGGTCCCTTAAAATCATGCATAAGTGGAAGTTCACTGTACATACATATAGAAGTATATTATTAAGTTATTCTTTAATATATTAAGTTAAAAAAAAAATTGGGAACTCTAATTTCACTTTTGAATTTCTTGTCCTACCTAATTTATTTAGAATAAGTTCATTCTGTAAAAAGCTTATCTTTTTATAGTAATTTTATCTATTTACTTCATTATGCTTTTATAAAATGAAATTATACGAATGAGTACAACAAACTGTTTTATTCTTAGAATGCAAAGTTTTTTTAAATTTTATATACATTAATCTATTGCTTATAAATGTGCAGTATTTCCTGACCATATTGACAAATTTATTTCCAATTGAAATTTTGACCTCTTTCTGAACTAAATAATTTAACAGGCGCAAAACTAAATAAAAGAACTTTAAAATACTATGTTTTAAAAAGGAGAAAATAATTTTTATATTTCTGTGACAATTAAAACAGAAAAGGTGTTTTATTTTCACAATTAACATAAATCCCCTCCTGAATCTCTATCACTTTTTTTTGTTTAAGATATAAGAGTAATTTTTTTCTTCCTCTTTTGATAAAATAATAGTTTGAAACATTTTTTTTTATCTGATTCACCATTTAAATTTGTTAACTTGAGTACAGATTGTTATTCATGCTTAGTTTGTATGTATTTCATCGTTCTGCTTAAGTGTGGGTGTTTTTTCCTTTGTCATAGCCATAATATTTTCCTGATTTTATTCTATCTAGCCCAACATTTAATCTACTAAGGTATTAATGTAGTGTTACAAATGCTAATTAGTATATATTTTCTTTATCTAAATTATAGCCGTGTGCCATCTAAGTCCTAATCAGCATATTTGTCAATTGAAATATTGTGTATTATTTTTCCTGTAATCATGTTTTTTTTTAATGAGTAATAAGTTATATATTTTTTTACTTGTTAGCTCTTGATGAAGATCGTTATGGCATGCCTAGAAGACGAAGAGGCTCTCCTGCTGAGTGGCAACAGCGTAATAGAATGGATGATAGGGAATCAGGAGGAAATCTTGGTCACAGGTGACTTTTTTAGAAATACATATTAATGAATATGCTGTCACACTTCCTTAAGCTTTTGACTTGTACAACTCCTTGTACTAGTAACAAACTTTAGCATGCTAATTGTTGTAATTTCTAAATTACTCTTCTGGAGGATGTTTAAAAACTAATAACTTGTAATGTTTTACTCCCTATTCATCATATTTTAACTATTTGCCCATGTTTTAACTTTTATCGTCTTACTTTTTTTGGAAGTTCTATTTTATCTCTGGAGGATTTGTTAGGAGACACCCATCATCCTAACATTTTTGCCTTTCTACTCGCAATTGGTATTTTATGCTGTATATAATTGTTTTATCGTATTTACACTTTTATCTGATTTTATTCACTTTCTGATCCTGTTTCATCTTGTTTTATAGTATTTACATTTTAGCTGATTTTATTCACTTTGAATACTCTTGTTACGTTGTGTAAAGTTCTAGTAAGAAAAAAATAGCTGGAAGCTTTTTGTCTTTGATTTGTTTTGAAACCGATTATTTGGCGCGGCATGTCCTTTTGTGAACCTTGTGCCATTAAACCCTACATTCAATTCAATTCAATAACTTGTAATTCTAATAACTTGTTAAATAAATATGTATATTGTTTGATAAAGGTTAGGTACCTTCAATTTTAGCTTTTCATTACTAATTCAGGGTTGTCACTCCACAGGGAGAACAGGAAAAACCTGGAAAATACAATGGGAATTTAAAAATCACCTAAAATAACAGAGAAAATGCAGAGAATTTTGATTTTTTCTTTACAAACTGGGAAAATGCAGGGAATTTTGTTTCTTATTTTTGTCTTTTAAAAAAAGGTGCCCACTCAAAGCTATGGGATATTTGACCATGATATTTCAGCCATTCAGAACTATTTCATTTACAATATTATAGCATTATTTAAGTATGTTCAGTTGTTTTTCCAGCAATTAAAACTAATAAATATAGTTAGCCCAATATAGCTCACGCAAGAGCACAGTNGTGTACTGCCGGTCCATAGCGTATGAAAGCGCCAATCATTTTACAGGTTTGATGAAATACTTGCGAGTCCGCATGTGAGCTGGGTCTGTGAGATTATTGCACTCTTATGTGCAACTCTGCTGCATTTTGAAAGATATTCTCAATTTCAGGCTTCATTTTCAACCCTCTGATATCGAACAGAAAAATCTCTCGATCTTTTTATGATGGCTAATATAATCATGAAAAGAGTTCCTTGTCAAAAACTAGTTATTTTATCATGATCATGTAAAGTCTTCGAAAAATATTCTGCATTTTGCTAATATCTGCTTAAAAATATTTTTTGAGTGCTTAAAAAGTACTTAAAAAGAGCTTATTTTTTGTTGAAAGATTAGGCTACGCACCCTGATTTATGAATAGGCTGTCACACTTGTACAACTCTTTGTACTAGTAACAAGCCTTAGCATGCTAATTGTTGTAATTTCTAAATTACTCCTCTGGAGGATGTTTAAAAACTTGTAATTCTACTAACTTGTCAAATAAATCTGTTTATTGTTTGATAAAGGTTAGCTGCCTTCAATTTAGCTTTTCATTACTAATTCAAGGTTGTCACTCCACAGGGAGAACTGGAAAATACAGGGAATTTAAAAATCACCTGAAGTGACAGGGAAAATACAGGGAATTTTGTTTCTTATTTTTGTCATTTAAAAAATGGTGACCACGCAAAGCATAATCTATGGGATATTTAACCATGATATTTCAGCTATTCAAAACTATTTCATTTACAATACTGCAGCATTATTTAAGTATGTTCAGCTGTTTTTTAAAACTAATAAATATAGTTAGCCCAATATAGCTCACACAAGAGCTCAGTAATTGTTGTTTCCTCTTAATATAATGTGCATAATATGTACAGGGAAAACACAGGGAACTTTTTTTTCTCCAGATTTGAGTGGCAACCCTGTAATTAAAATCTTATCTAATTTTACCATTAAGAGTTTTCAATAACATATCCAAAATTATAAGAATTTATATTAGATAATTTGTATTTGTAAGCATAATTGAAATTACATTTTATTAAAATGATTGTTGTTGTGTTTGCAAAGTTTTGAATTTTATCTTTTTTCCAAAACTTCAGGCCTGGACGTGGTCAAATGACTTCCAGAGATGGTCGATCTAGGTCCCCACCACCCCCATCCAAAGGACAGGGATCCAATCGAACCTCTTGGAATGAACGTGGAAACCGTAATGAAAATCGAAACAACGATAACAGGCAGCAGGATGATGCTCAAAAGGTACTTTTTCTTAAATTGAAGAATTCAGAAAGTAAATAATTCGGTGGATACTTCTGATTATATTTATTTTTTATCTTTTAATTTAGAATTTAGATGAGAGAAAGGGTAGAAATGTGAGGAAAGACAGGGGTAAAAGGAAAGAAGATGTCCCGGAAGACAAACCTCCTGCAAAGGAAAAATCTGCTCCAAAAAGACCCCATTCTCCTTCGCCTGCTGCTAAAGTGCCGACAAAGAAAAGAAAAATGGAAGCTTTTGATATTCTAAAATATCATGGAGTAGTTGAGAATCCAGACAAAGGTAACTTACCCTATAGTTTCTCTTATTTCTCATCAAATGGCAAGACTGAAACTATGATCGAGTTAGTTAAACCATTTAACTGATTCAAAATTCGGAATTAACAGTTGAAGGTCATCTTTAGAAAGAACGGAATTCTACTTCCTTCTTGTCAACTAATGGTATAAGCGCAACTTTCTTATTTTTTTAAATAGCTGATTAATATTTTGGTCCTTACAAAGATTTTTATTTCTACTTGCTATGAAGGATCCAGGATCACACTATATGCTCTTAAATAGAGAGTGCCATTAAGTATAACTCAGTTCAACTAAAATTCCACGGTATTTCTTTTACATGCAAAAGTTTAAAAAAAGACCTTATTTAGTTATTTTATTGAAAAAAATATTGTTTTCTTTTAACTTTAGTAACAAAGCATTTATGTAACTTTTTTTAATAAATATATTTGATACTATATTAAATTTGCTAATTAATTTTCTAAGCTTTTTCTTTATAATAAGTTAAAAGCTGATGGTTCAACAATGATTAGGATTCACAACAGCAATGAAAATTTAGTGGTCCAATAGACGTTGGTATTCATTTAGTGATCCAAAAACTAAATTTGGTAAACTAACTTGCGAAAACATAGATGGTCAGAGATAAGCAAAGGAGCTGAATTGCGTCTGTCCCAGTATACGTCAAAAAGAGCTTTTTAAGCAAAACAGGAACAGTTTGAGGAAGATCATTGGTCTTCTCACTGAACACTGTATCCTCTGGAGACACCTATACGTAATGGGTATTGAATCTAATCCTCTTTATAGAGGTTGTCATCTTGAAGAGGAGACTTTATGACATATACTTTGCGATTGTGACGTCTATTCTGCTCAAAGATTTGAGCATTTAGGGCAACACTGCATTAAGACATGGAAACTGCAAGATGTTCCTGTAAGGTGTCTGCTGAATTTTATTTCAGCCATAAGGCTTTCTTGCTAATCATGATTTAGGGTTTGGGTACAATANTTGAGCATTTAGGGCAACACTGCATTAAGACATGGGAACTGCAAGATCTTCATGTAAGGTGTCTGCTGAATTTTATTTCAGCCACAAGGCTTTCTTGCTAATCATGATTTAGGGTTTGGGTACAATAGACCTCTGGTCGATGTGCCCTGCTCTTTAGAGCAGCCCATCCTCTAAATCTAATTTAACTTGCAAAAAAAAAATTGAACTTTGCAATTACATAATTTATGGTACACATCAAGAATTATGGTACACATCAAGAATTATGGTACATTTATGGTACACTAATTGCCATCTGTAGCATCCTAATACTAATTGCGTTCATTGCCTCATAATGATTAAAAATTAGTATTTTTTAAAAATTGGTGGATAAAAAACAAATAATATTAGTAAATAGATTTAACATGGAGATTAAAATACTGAGACAATATAATTTAATAAATGGAAAAAAAGTAAAAGGTAACAAAATAATATATGAAAAATTATTAAAATTTTATGCTTTTTAGATAATTAAAGTCAATTCTAAATGATAAAAAAGTGTTATTTTATTGATGAACAATTATACTGTGTACATGAATGCAGTGCAATATGAAAATTTGAAATTTCAACATTTAAATTTAAAATTTTTGTACCAGATGCTTCAATACTTTCAGTATTCCATCTGAATACCATACACAGAAAAATAAATTAGTACAACAATTTTTTTTAATGTATGGAATTCAATGCTGAAAACTATTTTGTAAATTCCGAATATATTTCAAGGTGATAAATTTGTCGCCCATGCATATGATTTTAGCAACATTTGTAGAACAATTTACGACGATTGTCACTATACTGGTGTGAACCCTAACAATGGTCAAATACTTTAGTAAATAAATTTCAAATTAAAGAAAAAAACTACCTTTTAGTTCAGATGAAGTCCAAACTTATTTGCTTTAAAACTGCCAAATCCTAACTGTTTATTATTATTTGGTGTTCCTATTTTATCAAATTTTGGGATCAAAGCCTTAATTTATTTAAGTCTAATGAATCTATTCTATGAGTAGATGATAAAAAAAAGTATCGGAGATAAGTTGCATCATAATCGTCTCACATTCCTAAAATTTTTAAATAATTTTCTGTATGGCATATCATTCTGAAGGACGCCTGGTGACTGAGTGGTAGTGCTTCGCGCTCTCATGCCTCAGGTCCTGGGTTCGATCCTTGGGCCGGGCAAGGTTGACTCAGCCTTTCATCCCTTCAATGGGTCGATAAAATGAGTATCAAGCATGCTTGGAGACTAAACACTAGGGGTTCCGCATTTCGCTGACCACCCATACGGAACATCAGCTCCTGTGCCACAGAGCCTAAGGTCAAGAAAACTGAGATGGGCACACTAGGCCTTGGCCCTCTATGGGCTATTGCACCACTAAGCTTAGTTTATGTCATTCTGAAACAATTATATTACCCTGTGATATATTTTGCAGTGATAAATAATCAGAGTTTTCCATGCATTTTAATTAAATTAGCAAAATTTTACTATGCTGTTATTGTATCTAAGCACTTTTTATTATTTTAATGTAGCCAAAAAGAAAAAAGAAGCGAAACCTGAGAGCAAGCCAGCCGCAAATCAAAAACCAGGTAAAGTGTTCTATTTCATGTAGATAAACTTTTCTTTCAGTGTTTTTATGCAACAACCTAAATAGCATAAAATTATGTAACATAAATTGCGTATGTAATTCTTCGTGATGAAAGTAAATTTCATTAAGAACCAATATGTGTTGTGATGTGACAATGTCATGCTTTAATCATTACGGTAAAATGCAGGAATGATAAAAAATAGAGATGATTAAGGTCCTAAAGAGATTACGTCCAGAAATAACTTTACAAAAAATTAAAGTTATTTAAACACTAGGCAAATATGGTACACTAGTAAGATTATTAATAATAGAGTTTTTGATTTTCTTAATGTAGTAACTCAATCAAAAATTCAGGTTAGCAATTGAAATATATGAATGTTTTGGTTGAGTTATTACTTCATCAAAAGCTCTATTGTTAGAGACCTACAGCAATATCATATTTGTCTAATATTTTGAAATCATTAATTCTTTGGCCCTTTTAATTGTATTAAATTTTGTATATTTATCTCTTTGGATTGACATAACCTCTGTCTGATTTTAATTATCTATGTTTTTATCATTCCTTTCTTTTATTCTACTAATAAAGTTAACAGTGTGACACCGAAACACATATAGGTTTTTAAAAAAATTTTGTCACTTGTGATTTTAAACGTTTTTTTTTTTTTTTTTTTTTTTTTTTTTTTTTTTTTTTTNTTTTTTTTTTTTTTTTTTTTAATGAAATCCAACCTGAATAATGTTTTCTTTATTTAAGTTAAACAAGATCAGACATCAATTGATCCAACACCTGCTGTTGAAAAAGGAGATAGTTTATTGAAAGGCTCAAATGATGCAAAATCGAAAAAGAGAGAAGATAGGAAATCGAGGAAAAATGGTTTGATTTAGCTTAACTCCTCTTCCTAATTACTTCTAATAATATTTTATTAAAAATAGTAGCAGAATTAAGTGGATTAAATTCTTTTCACAATACTATTAACAAGAAATATATAAGATATGATTTTTCTTTCTATATGCTGATATAAATTATTTTATTACACTAAATGGTAAAAAGAGAGAATCAACTTTTTCATTTGCAGGTCCTCGTCAATATAGGTCCATAAAGGTTTTCTTCTTTTGCCCGTCAGTCACTTTTTGGCTACCAAATTAGTAGTTTAATATATTTAGAGTAGAAAAATATTGACTCTATAAGCTCACTTGAAATTAACTGATTAGCTCAAAATTTACTAGATATTTACATCCCGAGTTCAATTAAACACGAAACAATTATATGACTCAAAGAAAAACGTTTTTTTAAAAAAGGAGAAGAAGAAAAATTTTTTTTAAAGGGTAATTAACTCTTTTATTTTAAGAGATTAAATACTGTTAAATAAGAGATAACTAAATAATTAGCAAGTAAATGCAGTTGTAACATTTATTAACTCTTGAAGTCAAAAAATATATCATACTCTTTTTTTTTTTAATCTCTGCCTAGCACTGTCGTTTTTTGTTCTAAAAATTTCATTTAAACTCTATTTTATGTTTTTTACAGTGAAGATCATACTTCAATGAAAAAATGCGCGTGTGACCATTTAAAAATGTGTCCACCGTTATCATCATTATCTTGGCGTATCAGTGCCGTAGCGAGCTTAACTCGCGCCCGGGGCACAATCCCTTTTTAGCGCCCCCTCCTTCGAAGACCATATAATATTATATTTAAAATATACTCGCAAATTAATAAATAAATAAAGTCATAGACTCAAGCTAGGCCTTAAATTTAAGACAAAAAATGTAGTTGAGAAAACAAGACTAGATTTTGCAATTTATATGATCATCTAGAATATTAGTTCAAAAGATACCTATTATTTATTTTATATATTTATAAAGAAATATTCTAAAAACTCACAGTTTTAAAGCAATAAGAAAGTAAATATTTATTATCTCTAAGGAGATACATATATTTAATATTAATTTGATTATAATACATTAATAAAAGTAATTACTATGTATAAATTTTTCCTACTTTTGATGAAGCAAATTTATCGATAATATCATCAAATTTGATAATTTCAAATTTTTCTCTTTCCACACTTAAAAATGCTAGGTCACTTAGGCGATCTTGTCCCTTCATTAATCGTAGATATTTCAAAATAAATTTTAATTTGCTGAATGAACGTTCGCAGCTAGCAATTGATACTGAGATAGTCAGGAGTATGATTTGAAGTGCCACTCTCAGGTTTGGAAAAACATCTTCTCCATACGAGATTATAAAAGTAAGAAATTCTAATGGAGTATTAGGTTCAATTTCTTTTCTACTGCGGAGTAACATGTTGCATTTTGCAGTCACATATTTCGATAAAGAGTTCTATTCAATTGAAATCTGTATTATAAAATTCACCCAAATTTTTTTCAAGGTCGTTATCAACATTATCCTTGTTTAATAAATTTTCAACGTCTAGTAGAAATTTAAATTTGAAATTAAGGTCACTTAATCGTGTACATATTTCTTGTTGGAGACGATCGAGAACGCTTTTCATAAGGCGAGAAATTTCACTTTCTGAGGAAAGACCAACATCTCTAGCCAATTCTCCAGGCATTTTGCGGCGTCTTCTTACACGCATTGTAATATCAATATCCACTTTTTCACAAAGAGACTTCGCTTTTTCTATTGCCTCTTCACAGAGCTTGTCTCGAATTTCGGCTAGTTCAGTCGCTAATGATTCAAGATCATGGAACGCTTCTCTAAAACTCCTTCTACTATCTTGTAATCTGAGTTGCACACGATCAATCCTCCTTAAGATTTCATACCAGAAATGAACTAAAGTTATGAAACTGAAAGTTAGTATATTTTGCAACAGAATTGTAGCTTCACTTCTGGTGTCACTTGTAGTGGTAGTGTCCTCTGCTAATTTTTCTAATAGTTCTACTATATTCTCTAGCCCATCAACGATAACGCAAACCGCTTGTATTCTGGCGCTCCATCATGTTTCAGATTCACGTTTGACAGTTTTTGTTAAAGCATTTTTTAATAATTCCCATCATAACGTTGAACATGAGGAAAAAAAAAATATGTTTTCAATTATTCCAAAACATGTCACAACGATTGGATCATGTTTAGCTGCAGTAACTCCTATGAAATTCAATGAAGGGTTATCACAATTTACAAATAATGCTCATCTTTTTATCTTTTCATCTTTTTATTCACTCATTTGATCTTTTTATTTACGAATTAACATTTATTATATTACACTGGCACTAAATTTAAAATATATTTTCCAGAAATCAATTATAATAAAAATTATCCAGCAATTTTTTGTTTTATGGGCCATTTGGCACCCCTTTGTGAGTAGCACCCGGGGCATGATGCCCCCCCCCCCCCGTCACTACGCCACTGTGGCGTATACCGTCAAATGAAATTATTTTAAATTTCACTTCAATTAGTTATGTAGATAGACTGCTAGAGTAGAAGTTATAGTAGAAGTTTTTTTTTAATGACTACCATATAACTTTTGTTTTGTTTTTGTTTGACATATTACTTAAAATCAAATTTAACTAATGATCTGTTAACAATTTATAGATGATGCAACTCGAGGAGACGATGAATTTAGTGATTGGAGTGATGACGATTTAGACTTGTTTGTTGATGTAAGTTTTCTTCCTTTTTTTCTCTTTTTTTCATGTCTTCTATGCTTTTGTGGGGATAGTAGATATAGACAATGTCATCCTTCATCTATGAAAAGGTACCCCAGCCTAGAATCGAGTTAACATGTCTTATATGCCAGTGATTTAGAATTATATTGTTGTAGTGGTAGATACACTACAGTATTCCCCACCACTAGTTGATTGATTGCTGTTTTGTGAGAAGCCGGAGAGCTGTATTAAGATCGCCGTACTTTTGAGTGCTGATCGTGGTCGCTCCTGTGTTGCTTTAGCTGTCGAGTATATACAGGTCGACGTAGTGTGTGATTGAGATTGAGTAGCAATAGCGTGAGGAGGTGGATAATATCGCAGTCGCAAATAGCAAGTCAACTGTTCAATGTGGACCATCTATCAAAGTAGGCGTTTTCAGATCGAAGTGGGCGTTACTGTCAAGATAGGCGTATTCATATTGATGTGGGAGTTTCTATCAAGATAGGCATGTTGACATCACATCCGAATGTCACCAATGTAAATATAGACAATATCAACCTTTATCTATGAAAAGGTACCCCTCTGTAGAATCGAGATAATATGTCTTATATACTAGTGAGTTAGAATTATATTTTTGTAGTGGTAGATACACTACACTATTATAAAACTATTGTTTTTGTTAACAAGCACATAACGTTAGCATGTTATTCTTTAGGTTTTATATTTTTATTCTATTACAGCAAGATTCAAATAATGACAGCAATAGTAAGCAAAAAATAAAGGAAGATTTGAACGAAGATAGCATTTCAAGTGGCAGGAAGAGAGATAAGAGTTTTACACGAGACAGTTCTCAAGATTCAAGGAAGGGTAAAGAAAGCGGTAGTCGTACCAGCAGCAAAGATAGGTATACTCTAATGTCCTTTTTTTTTTCAAATTATTTTTAAAAATTGTTACTATATAAGCTATTATTAATTTTCAACCTAAAAATGTGTGGCTTATTTCTCATGCTCTGAAAATTAATACCTATTTTTTTTCTAATAACTAATGCCATAAACAGAATTCTAAATTTTCAATAAATATTTGCTAATTATTGTGCTGTATGCAAAATTAAAAATAGAACACCTTTATAACTCTTAATCTAATGATCAGATTTCTATTTACTGCAAAATAATTTTAATAATTCAAAAGGCTAACTATATTTTGAAATTTATGGTCATAATAATAAAAGCAGAACAGTCAAAAGTTTGGACCTTTTGAGGTTAATTTTTTTATGCATATTCACTTGTTGCTTATTTATTGAATTATTTAAGGAAATCAAAACTCATTTATCCAAAGGTAATTCGAGTAATAAAAAAAAAGAATTTTTTATAGTTATTTTGATTAAAAATCTTAAAAAATATTGAATTGGAAGGTATGCAAGTTTTTATATTCTTTTAAATAGTGTAATTTAAAATCTTAAATAATCATTATATTACTTTTGAACCATAATACATTCTGCATTTTAAAAGTGTAATATGAAATCTGTCTCATTTTCCAAATACCACAATAGCAAATACAAACACAATTAAGAAAACCTAAATATTTGTCACTTGTTCATTTTGTATGTATGCATTTCTTTTTTTAAATTTTAGTGTGTTTAATTCAACTATAAAACTACTACACAAGACTGTTAAAATTGTTTAGGTATATTGAAAATATCATTAACTAGTGATTAAAAGATAATGTACAAGATTAAATGCAAATCGTAAATGAACAATAAATTTTTATCATACTATTATTAATGAATAGTTCTTAGACATAATGAGTAGTTATTATATCAGGTTTACTTACAAGTTTATAATCTTATTCAATTAAAAATAATTTTTAAGCTTACTATTTATTTTAAGTATTATGCAATTAAAAAAATTACACAAAGAGGAAGACAATGAAGATATTTACAATAATAGAGATTATCTTTCCTTATTTTAGCATTTGATTATTTTTGCTATTGTATTTTTATTAAGCATATTTCAACGCATACATCACTTTTCATTTATTTTTAATATCTCTCTTCAAGTCACTCTTGATGTTTCTTTTTTTTTTTTATCATCTTCCTTCCAAATTCTCCTAGAACTGAGACTAAAAAATCCCACATCCAATTAAGATAAAACCAGGCATGAGATTCTTCTGACTTTCTAAACTTAAGAAGAAATTAAATTTCTGAACTTTATTATAATTTGATGTCTGTATGTCGGTGATTTGTATATCTGTATGTCGTAGGTAAAGATCACCAAGTCACAAAAATTTAATTTTTACTTCTAGAATAAGTTGTACATGGTCTTTTTTTCAAACTGGCTAACTTCGCCATATATTATGGCAGAGCATAGTGTCCTGTAAAAATTAGAATGGAAAATGTTTCTATATAAACATATGGTATCAACTCTATTTTAGAAATAAATGGACATGGTGTCCTTTACCTCTGGAATACATGTGTAAAATTTAACAATTTGTTGAACTGTCAATATATACATATAGAAAAAAAAATTTAGTATGCTAATAATTAAGATGTTCTTCTTATTTTATTTTTAATTTTATTTTGTACAAAATAGCTTTACATGCTTCTTTATTTCATGGTTTGAAAAAGTAAATAAATAAAAAGTATGCATTAGTCAGAAATAAATATTTTCAGACTTTTGTTCTTTTTCAACTGTAAAACTCAATTATCAGAAAGTTATATATCTTCTAATTGTAAGGATTAATAGGGAAGTTTTAGATCCTTCTGTCCTTAAAAAACATTTGGTCAAGAAAGCTAAATGAGACCTTTTAATTTGGAAGTTTCTCACAAATAAGGAAGAAAGAAAGAAAATACAAGGGGTCAGTTCATCCCCGAGGTTTTACCCATTAAGATGTAACAGTGTAAAGTCTGAAATCCTTTATGTCTTCTTTAAATCCTTAATATCAGAACCTCTACCACCATAGATGTCAACAGAAGTCTTAGCTCGTTATAACATGGTAATGAAAAAAACAATTAAGATTATGCTTGATTCTTTTAAGCTTTAATTGCATATAAAAGTTATCGTTGCATAGTTATCAGGTCTCATATGTTTATTTAAATTCTTATGTATAGTGGTGGTCAAAATCATTATAAATCTAGTTTAATTAATTGAATTTAGCTAATTAAAAATAAAATAATGGAACAAAAAATTTACTAAAGATTTTAAAGGCATAAGTGTTTTTAAGAATCGATAAAAATATTCTAATAAGCTATTTAGCAATTCTTAAAATAAATTTAAAAAAAACACCGTTAAAATCTCTTTAGAATTTGTCAAGAGGTTCAACATTTTCAACCCAGTAATCACACTATGTTTTTGTTTCATGTTAAGTTCCTGTTCACTAATGTAACTTTTAACTGTGCATCATCATGTTTTTGGAAACGAATTAGTGGATTTCATTAATTTTTATTTGAAGTTAATGAATTTGTACACTTCATCTGTAGTTCAGAATAGCTTTTTTTTTTTTAAAGTTTTAAAAATTGATGCATGGACTGGCCATGGGTGGCCCACTTAACTCCATACTAAATGCATTATTTTGAGGTCCAGTTATTTCAGATTAAAAAGTTTTTTATTCTATGCTTGTTATATTGATAACAATTTTGTTCTTTTTGATGAATGTTATTCAGAAATGAAAGAAACTTGATTTTTGAGGCTTGATTTTGAATGAATTTTATACACCCATGAATTCAATTTGCAACTGAAAGATAATCTGACAATAACCTTCCTTTTTTTTTTTGGGTCATTCCAATAACTCATATGATGACATTTTCAATACACTACATATTACATTACAAACCTTTCGCTGTTTCTCTTCCACCACATCGTTCCTCTTGTCATCCACTAAATCACGAAACAAAAAATTGCAATCCCCTGGTCTTCAGAACTCTTAACATCTGTTCCTCACCTTAACGTTTAAAGTTTGAAATCTACTACATTAAAGCCATCGCCCAAAATAGAGACTTCTCTGCTTGAATTATTGACAAAATAGTTAAAAAGATGACTAAACGTCTTTATAATTAAAGCTTCTAAATATCAAAACGGATTTCTAAACACAAATTCCAAGCTTTTTTTTCTCTGAAAAACAAAATTGCTTTCTTCCATCTCAAACAAACTATTGATTACAGGGAATGTGCAAAACTTCATGCCAATGTGGACTTTGGTGCATAGGGGCAAACTAAAAAAACACTCAAACATTGTCTCAAAGAGCTTCAACGCCACATCAAGAATTCCAAAACTTTTCCGTCAATAAATATTTTGGGATTGAAAACCATAAATTCAAAATTTTCTCATTTCATATTATTCACAAGTGTATTTCATGTTGTATTGACTTAATTTCTGAGAGAATTTCTACATCATCAAAAGCAAAAAATTTATTGTTAATGATCTTGCCACTGTACCATCTTTTGCGTAGATTAGGAAATCATTAATTTTGTATTTTTTTAACACTTACTGTCAATTTAATATTGTTACTTTGAACTGTGTATTTATTTTTTTAGTGTGACATTCTTTTTAAAATTACATTCTCTCTATTTTACCATATCTGAAATTTATCCCACTGATAAAAATTAATGTGGCATTGAAATAAGATAAATATTCAATAAAAATTTTGCCATTTGTGATTGTGAAACGTTTTATTGATTATTACGTTTATAATAACGTTTATTTTACCTCAATGAATTACTCTCTTAGCTTTGCAAATGACATTTAGTTGAACATATGGCCGAAACGTCATTGCAGGGAACTCTATATTCTGTTCAGCAAGAATTGATAATGGCAATAAACATAAAAGTTTCTGCATATCATCAACATTATATACAATTGCCGGTTCATTGCATAGCCAGTGGTTCTTTTCTTACTCTCCGTTGGTCAAATTAGCAATGCTTCTAATAACTGGCATCAATCATCCAAGAGAAATGCCAAGTGTTCAGTGGCTTTTTTTCCTTTTGCTATTACTTCATACTGAGCAGCAGAGTGTAATGTTTCAAATATTGCAAAACTTAATTTTTGCTTAAATTAATTTTTACTTAAAACTTAATTCCTCAATATAAGTAATACATAATTGTGTGATTTATTTAGATCTAATGAGGAAGACATTCATTCTAAAGATGCAAAACAAGTTGTGGAATCTAAAGATTTGGATAATCAAGAATCATTTATACTCAAAGAAGATACAGGTATAATTAATATTATATTGCTTGATGTCTTAATTGAGTTACCTGCAATGTTTATCTTATGTTTATTTTTAGATTTGAATTTAAAAGTCTCTTAGAGAATAAAATTGTCAAATTCTCATTTATGTAGTCTATTTGACAATGTGCTATGAGAAATTAATCTTATTTTATAATATTATTTTTGACAATTGTTTTCAAATATTTATAATATTATTTTTTCTTTAATTACCTTGATTAAAAAATTCAGCTAGCAAATCATTTTAATTTGCATTTTTGTGTGGGTTATTGTAAAATGCCATTTGAAGACATTCAAGGAAAAAAAAATTTTTTTTTAAATTAGTTGCAAAAGAACTGAAAATATAGCTGTGTAAAACATAAAACACTTCTGAAAGAGAAAATTCTATTTTGTCACATTTAATACCTATGTTAAATACTATAAATGATATTTTTAAAAGGTGATAAGAAACTATTAGTATAACTAAATATCGCCATCTGCAATTTGTTATATCTATTACCATACTCTTGTTTTCATTTTTTAAACTGCACGATTTTAAACTGCACAATTTAGAAACATTTGTTTATCTGTGAAAAGTTTAAAAAAATATAAGTGGTTATTGATTGTTCTAAGTTTGGTTAATGGAACAAATACTTTTAAATTTGCCCGTTGTGCAGCTCTCGTACGACGTAACTAAAATACCTACATACCCAACTGTTGGGGGGGAAATATCTCGTTTGTAAAAGTCGTCTGTTTAGCAATTATTTGTTTAAGTTATCTTAAAGAAAAATAAGTGACAGATAGTTTTCATTATGCAAGACACATTTCCATACTATAAAACTTGCTAATGATGAGACTCAGTGATTTCATTGTGTGTATAGTTTCAAATTGAACATGTTTTTATGTTTCTTACCTTATTTATATTTATATTTCTGTATTAGCTACAGACATTGATGAATACATTACTGCAGAGAGTGTAGATTATGATCCTATAAGTGATGATGAGTTAGATGCTCTTATAGAAGAACCAGATGACACTTTAACACCAAAACCTGATGATGAAAATGAAAAGTCAAGTAAGTTGAATGGAAAAAAAATATTATTATTAATTTATTCTTTGCTAATCAATATCAGATTCTGCTTTTTACAAACATTTAGTTAGTTAGGTGGCTCAGAGAATAGAATGCTCGCCTCCAAATGAGGTGACCTAGGTTCAAAGCTCAGCAATTACTGATCTATACCAATTCTGCTCCCAGCTTCTGCTGATGTAAAAATATTCTGTGTGGTAGATGCATTATGGGTTAGATTTCCCTAGCCATCATGCTAACCATGGTGTGGTTTTGTGGTTTTCCTCACAGTGTAATGCAAATGCTGGTTAGCTTTCCTCAATAATTCCTCTGAGAAGGTTATTTTGTTCCAATTCTCGATCCAGAAGTTCTCTAGTCTTCTAGGTTGGGTTCAAAATTACAATACTTTTCAAAATTACAATACTATGAATAGTCAAATACTTTTTTCTGACAACTTAAAACTAAATAATTTTCCAGGGTATGAGTATGAAAAGTTCTTTTTTAAATCTGAGTTATGTGATCAATTTCAGAGTTTTATGTAACATTAAATCAATTTCCTCATTAAATCGGATCTTACAATAATCTAGTACAACAGTATTTTAGAATGTTTTGAGATTTTAAATAAAACCACGTAACTGTAGACTTCTAAAAATTTATATTTGTGATTACTTTTAAAAATATTTTTGGAATTGAGCAATAAAACTATACATCAAATTTCATGTTTTTAAAATAGGATGTGCATGATAAATTAAGCGAGTTGGTCAAAAGCATGCATGTCCCTCTTTGACTTAATCTGCTTAAATTTTTAATGACTCGCTCCATAAAGCAAATTAATGTAAATTCATTAATTGAATTATCTTCTAAGTCGCTTCTTTATTCAATTTGATAATGAAAGCACTATTCTGTTTTTTAAATATTGTGCACTTTTTCAATATAAATTTTCTAGTTATGCAGATAATTATTAGTCATAAAATATAGCCACCCTTTATTGCCGTTCCGTGTAGCTTCTTCTAATGACTGCTTTAATCACCTATAACAATATGAATGTTTGATGTGGTCATTTAAACTTACTAAGAAATGTATAATGATAAATGGGAAATATATATTTTAATTTTCAACTCAAAAATATTTCTTAAGTATGTTTTTTTTTAATGTTTTTAATAAGTAGTTATGTAATGTGTACTAAAAAGCACTTTGTTAAGGTTTTCCTGTGCAACATTTAATAGATTTTTATTTTAAAATCAGATTTTCATGAGCTACAATATACTCTTTAGGGTTTGAGGGAAATAACTGCTGATTAATAAGCATGTGTGATATTTTAATTCAGTGTATTAAATTTCAGCTGTGAAGTATTTTAGCTCTCCACGATTTTGACGAAAAATATAAACAATTTTTAAAATGTTAAGAGATGTAGTATAAAGAACATTTTGGTTACCAAAACCATAGAACAATGTGAAAAAGGAAAAACTGAAATACATTTATTTATTGCTGAACACTGTGGTTCCATTATTATCTACATATCATTAAAAGTCACTATAATACAAAAAATTATAAGAAAATTGAAACATCAAAAATGTTTTCATACTTTTAACATTTCATGTTTGTATACCGCTTATTTACAACACTAAATACCATTTGTGAAATTTCACCTGGTTTAAAACTTGGTGGGGGTCTATTTATAGAAATTCTGGGCAAATCATCAAGTGCCTCAATCTTCAAAGAGTTTCTGTAAGCTATCTTCTTCTTCTCATTGGCACGACAGCCCAGGATGGGCCTTGGCCTTCTCAACAAGCCTATGCCAAGACATTCTTCCCTTAGCCAAGGTTCTCCAGTTAATTATCCTTAAAATTTGTAGGTCCTTTTCAAGGCAGTCTAAAAATCTTAGGTTTGGTCGTCCTCTTTTGTAAGCTATCTTCAGTCATTTTTATTTTATTTTATAACCGTCGTTGAACAGCCGACCTAATCTTGGTTTACGACTACTAATGTTCAACTCCATAGCCTTGTAATTTAGAACCAATCCAGAAGACAAGGAAACTCCTGGATCAGTACTCCAAAGGTATTGATTTGTTATGGGAACATGGAGGACTTTGCGACTTGACAGATTTAAGGTGCATCAGTCACCATTTACTACACGGGGAGTCTTCAGCCGACGGGAATCGAACCCACGACCTCTTGGACATGGACCCAGCACCCTTCCAACCACGCTATCCCGGCGCATCTTCTATTTTATTTTATAACCGTCGTTGAACAGCCGACCCAATTTTGGGGTTTATGACTATTAATGTTCAACTCCGTAGCCTTGTAATTTTGAACCCAATACAGAAGACAAGGGAACTCCTGGATCAAGTATTGGGAGAAATTTGCCTTTGTGTAGGACTTTTTTGGTGGAACTAACACACATTTGCTTTACGTGGAGAGAAAGACCAAGAGAACCTCCCACAGTTAGCCTGACGGCAAGGGGACTCTTACCCATGATTCGTCTACCATTGAGGATATTTCACGTCAGCACTGTGGTTGGTGCAAGCCGGATGTGGAAGTCGTATTGACCAGCCTTCGCCGGGATCGAACCCCGGTTTACCTCATTGGAAGTCGAACACTCTATCCCCTGAGCTATAGCGGCTCATCTTTAGTCTATTGTGCCGAGCCTCTTTGACAAGAAACTGTAATCCCTGGTAGAATTGCACAAAAATATTACAATCTGGATCATATTCAAGAATCTCGCTGAGCATTCTTCTCTGTTAAACTTCTGCATCTGAGTTCATTCCTTGAATTTCGTCCAATCTGCCAACACAACATCCATTTGTTTATTAAAGAGGATTGTGTTTAAATAAATGGAGAGTTTCTTTATATCCTCTAACCAAAATTGAAAAGTGTTAAAAATATGCAGATGTGCAACNTTACGTTCAACTCCATAGCCTTGTAATTTAGAACCAATCCAGAAGACAAGGAAACTCCTGGATCAGTACCCCAGAGGTATTGATTTGTTATGGGAACATGGAGGACTTTGCGACTTGACAGATTTAAGGTGCATCAGTCACCATTAACTACACGGGGAGTCTTCAGCCGACGTGAATCGAACCCACGACCTCTTGGACATGGGCCCAGCACCCTTCCAACCAGGCTATCCCGGCGCATCTTCTATTTTATTTTATTTTATAACCGTCGTTGAACAGCCGACCCAATTTTGGGCTTTATGAATATTAATGTTCAACTCCGTAGCCTTGTAATTTTGAACCCAATACAGAAGACAAGGGAACTCCTGGATCAAGTATTGGGAGAAATTTGCCTTCGTGTAGGACTTTTTTGGTGGAACTAACACACATTTGCTTTACGTGGAGAGAAAGACCACAAGAACCTCCCACAATTAGCCTGACGGCAAGGGGACTCTAACCCATGATTCGTCTACCACTGAGGATATTTCACGTCAGCACTGTGGTTGGTGCAAGCCGGATGCGGAAGTTGTATTGACCAGCCTTCGCCAGGATCAAACCCCGGTTTACCTCATTGGAGGTCGAACACTCTATCCCCTGAGCTATAGCGGCTCATCTTTAGTCTATTGTGCCGAGCCTCTTTGGCAAGAAACTGTAATCCCTGGTAGAATAGCACAAAAATGTTACAATCTGGATCATATTCGATAATCTCGCTGAGCATTCTTCTCTGTTAAACTTCTGCATCTGAGTCCATTCCTTGAATTTCGTCCAATCTGCCAACACAACATCCATTTGTTTATTAAAGAGGATTGTGTTTAAATAAATGGAGAGTTTCTTTACATCCTCTAACCAAAATTGAAAAGCGTTAAAAATATGCAGATGTGCAACCCAAATATGAAATATGAACAACCTAAAACGTTTAAAATATGCCAATATGTTAACACATCTGTTGGCATAGATTGCAGTTATTTAGTGGTGCACATTTTTTCATTTTTAGTTAATCTCTCTCCAAAAGTCTGAAAATATTATTCGATATCTTTAATATTTCCCTACTGAAAACTCACAACTCTCAGAAAATAAGGTCTTTTGATTTGAAACACCACATATAATAAAACAAAACTTACTTTCAATCCCTAAATATTCTGTTGATAATGGCTTGTAAATGTCTTGCACCCTGTTTTAATTGAGTTGTAAAATATTACATTTGAACATACATTCCCTAAATAAGCATGCCTTTTTTTTTTTGAAAAATTTAGGTTTTTATCCCAATATAATATTTTCTCTATAGTTTTATCATAAAAGCTGTCTGACGTGTTTATTCTTTAAAGTTAATTTTACTTTCAGTGTATTTAAAACTACTTATGTAAATAAAATAAAAAAACTGAATGTAATTATAAAATTTGTTTATCCAAAAGTGATTTCACTCAGAAAAATAATTTTTAATGATTTTAATAATGGACAAAAAAATTTAAGTTATCAGTTGTAAAATAACATCTTAATTGAAGTGAATTTAAATGGGAACATCTCAAGTTTAAAGGAAATTAATCTAGTATTTAATTAGAAATGAAAATATACAATTAATTATTAACATCAGAATATTTAATTTGGGCTATCCTCTATATTTTGAAACTTGAAAATCCAACTTTCTCAAAAGATAAGCTTATTTCAAAGAAAGTGCCATTTTGAGTTTATTTTGTAGCTTAAAATATCACATCCATTAAATAATTTGCCTGTTTCAAGGTCTAATGTTTAACCACTAAAATTGCATCTTGTATATAAAGTCATTCAAGATATTTAACTTTTTTATATCCACTTTATGTAAGTAAATGGTTAATATGAGTGTTGTTCTACCATAGAAATTGTTGATGCACTTGATGTTGATTGGTCTGTTTTGATGAAAGCCTCCGCAGCTAAAACAGGATTCATTCCTGGCCTTTCTAGAAGTAGATTTAAAGCTGCTCACGTACTCTCCAGAATTGGCTTTTCCCAAACATTTGCTGGAGCCGAGCTTACAAAGAAAATAAAGGATTTTTGTGACAAACAATTACATGAAGAAAAAGAACATGAAGGTAAAATATACTAATCATTGACATAAAACATTTTCTTCACCCTCTATTATACAAACTGACTAGCACTTGTGAGTAACTCACTATCATGTAAACAGTGTTTTCACTACAGTGAATCTCGCATATTTTTTTCTTTTCTCGCAATAAAAAATTATGAACGCGAGAAGTTCACGGACTCTATTAATCAATTTCAAAATGCACGAATTTTGGAAAAAATTTCGTCTTTTGCCATTTTGAATAAAATCCGTTTAACTTTTCATCCCCTTGATCTTTCATTATTTTGAACATAGGTCCTTGTTATCTAGCTTCCCTATTTACCAGTATTGTTCTGAACCGGTGCAAGCAGCAGAACACTCCCCCCCCCTCTCCCGAACCACAGAACCCCTTTCAGAACACATTTCTTTGCAACCACGTGTTCACCGTAGGTAAGGTTTCTTCATGCAAGACGTTTACATTTTTTGTGCATAAATGTAAGATGAACAAATACCTTGTTAAGGCGACATCTTCTACTCCATAGCGGACAAATGAAAATGAAACAAATGTCAGTAGAAACGGTCAAAACGAAACAAATACGGATATTTTTCAACCAAATAAATATAATAGCTGTTGAAAAAGTAGATATAGAACATTTTCCATATGATGATGCAGCAAAAATATTCAATTAGAAGATGTTAAAAATGTATTATAATTAAAGAAATCATTTTTTCTCAAGTCTATTCGTGTTTTTTTAATTTTTAGAAATCTCACTTAACTTTTTGAAATCTCACCCTGTTTTTGAGAAAGGGTGAGAAATTCTCTCCCATTTTTTTTTAAAGCATCTAAATTTTTAAATTGCTCTTGTAATTGTATTTAAATTAAAATCAATATTTCTCAGTAACTAAAGAAGAAGAATAAATTTTGAGTTTTATAAAGGGTAGTTGTTATTTCAGGAAAGAAAATAAATGTTTCTATGCTGATTAAATTCCTTAATTAAGCACGGTTAATTCTGGCTCTTGCTTAGTTAAGCAAAGACTAAGGTAACCCAGTGGTATTTCTTCCTTTTTTCTGTTTTTTTTCTCTCTTCACATCAGTCTTAGTTTATGACACCATTTTTGTTACTATGTTATTATGAATACAGATTAGAATTAAAGGTAATCTATTAAAGGCTAAAAGCTGTATAATTAGACAAGCTACTTAACACATGCCAATTAAATTTAAAAAATTAGTCATTAATTGTAAAATAGCGCATAGAATTGGATTACAAAAATTAAAAATCATACAGCAGATGCCATCAATAAAAAATACATAGTTAAATAACATAAGATAAAAAAAAAGTACTAACCCTACATAATACATTTGAAAAAGTGAAGATCTCAAATAAAAAGAGACCTCATTCTCTATAGGTAAGTATTCTTTCTTACATTTTAACATGATACAACTATTTTTCATTATAGTTTTTATCTAATATTACCTGAAAATCAATATTCCATTCTAAAAATACAAGCTACAAGTGTTGATCAAAGTTGGGCTAGGAAGGCCAAAATCCCTCTCAACTCACATAAATTACAAGATTAACTAATGAGTTAAGTTGCTTGCCCTTCATAAATCGTGCTGAATAATTGAATGAATATTGATCTGGCTTGAATTAAAATTTTATGCTAATATCATACGAGTTTAAAAGCTTCTCATGCCAGCACAAACCTGAGAAAGTGATAGAAAAAATTTTTTTTTTCCAACATTGAATTTCCAACACTAGCATGAGACAAATTACACTGTTGACACATTTTGCTTGAAACCGGAATAAAAATTGTGTTGAATAAATATAAAAAATGCATGAAATACACATCTTAAAACTTATTACTCTAAACAAATGAAATTATTTAAATAAATAAAATAGTAATTAAATCTATCCAAATTATTCAAATAAATAAAAAATGCTATAAGAATAAAATTTTAACAAATGTATGGAAGACCTAAACTTAAAAATTAAAACAAATAGCATGTTATTGTTACCATGATTATGTAACAGCAATTATGAAATTCTGCATTCCCACAATCAGTCTTATAAATAATTGTGTTTAATGTGTCAGATACTTTAAAAAAAAAACAATTCCAATTTGTGTCCATTAAACTTTGATCATTGTATCAAGTTTACATAATTGTCATACTGTACAGAATGAATTTTTATTTGATGTATGTGATATGTATGTAGTGTTAAAAATATTATTATTTTTAAGATGGAAATTATATTTAAACACCAGTTATAAAGTATTATTTTGAATTTTATGTATCTCCAAAATCTATTGACTCATATGAACAGTATTGTCCAATACTATGAAGCTCAGTTTTGTTGTGGTCAAGAGCAATCATAGGACTAAAACAATAAAAAAAATCTTTAGTGACTGATAGTAGACGCGTAACTGCAAAAGATTAAAAAATCTTGCTTGAAATAAACTCCTAAAATTTTTTTAACATTTCTTTAAAACATTTAACATTAAAACAAAAGCAAAAAGAAAAACAATTTAAGAGGTTTGCATGATTTCTAGTTTTATTACCTTATAGATTTTGTATGTTAATTGGCAGTTGAGATTACTTTGCTGAGCTATGTGCATACTCTGTAATACATAAGATAAACTAAAATTCTATTTTTTTAACTTTAGAAGGATCTGAAAAAATTCCTGTGGAAAAAAAATTCAAAATGGAACACAGAGTGGCTGCATTTCATGTTTCCATGTCGCAAAACAAGAGAGAACGTATCAATCTGTTCAGCGAAGTTGGTCCTTATAGACGTGCCTTATGTGCTCGCAGAGATTTGCAAATTCGTAAAATGCTGTGCAGGCCTCTCAACAAGGTACAATGGCTTATTTTATTTTTTGCAGCTTAATTAGCTCTTCTATTTTTTATCCCTTTTGTTTATTTTTAAGTATTTAAAAAATAGAAACTTTTTTCTTTTTCACCTTTTAATTGGAGATCTTCAACTCATTTTCGTTAATGCTTGTTTACTTAACTGCACAAGAAACCAGTTTTATGTACAAGGTGTTCTATTAGTACTACCTTTAATATATACATTTTTGGAGTCCTTGTCAAAAATGAATAAAAAATATCTATATTTGCACTCATACATGGCAAAACTTCTAGTTGTACCTTTACTTGTACTTCATTACTTTTTAAATGTATTACTTTTACTTGGTTCTTTCGTTACTTTTTTCTGAACTTCTAAAAAAAATTTCCTCCAAAAAAAAAAATTTTTTTTTTTTTTAAATTTTTGCATGTTTTCTTCCAGACAAATCTTTATTTCTCTTTTTACACCCTACGCTAAAAGTCAAGACCACCAAACATCATCACCTTGTTACAAGGCCTTTTAAAATCAACCATGCAACTGGAAGGAAAGGAATATGAAACCCCTTAAATGGACGGAAAAAATAAAAAGTTTGGTGGGAAACCCGAATATTAAAGTTCGAAGGTCATTGAATGTCCACCAACCCAATATCCAACTGTCTCAAGACTTATCTTTGGGTGTGTTAGGGTAACTACCATTTCATTAGTTGTGAAAATCTCTTTGAAAAACAGTTTCCGAACGTGTAGAATAGATTTAACCCCTATTGTAAATTGGCAAGAAAGAAAAAAGTGCCCTCTAGGGGCGATGCCACCCACAGTGAGAAATCCCTGTAACTACTAAGCGAAAAGGAGATGCCTCTGCTCTCCTGTTAGCTGTCCTGCTTAAACTATTGGGATTATATTTCCCTGATTCCCGCTAATCCATATTTTAAATTTTAGAAATCCAAATCTGTATTCAGATCTGTATGTATATTCAGAGAAAGTACGTTTTTATGTCTGATTTCGTAACCTAAATTTTTGTGTCTTCACTAATTAACTAGCATATTTAACATTAAGACATAAACCATTAAAATTGAGTCCTAAAAATCCAAAGCAAAAAATCTGATCATTAGATTAGATCAAAAACTGTGCCTAAATCATTATATCAAAAATTGTGATGTCTACTTTTTTATTTTGCCAACTGTGAAGAATTAGAAAAAAAAGTAAAAACAATAGCGATTTGCAAAATTTTAATCTCGTCAGTTTGATTCCTCTCATATAGTTCTTTGCAATACAATTTTTAAAAAACTGTAGCATGGAGTACGTTATTTGTACAAAATTGCAAAAAAAGGCTAAAAGTCTGTATCTTTTGTTTCATTTCATTTTGTTTTATTTCATCTGATGATTTATTTCTAATCTTTTATTTCATTCAAATTATTAAATCATTGCAAAATATTGAAAATATTTTGTAATTATTTAATAATTTGAATCTGCGCATAAATGCAAAATTCTTAAAATCAGAATTGTTATAGTTTCTTTGCAAATTTTTGATTATATATTTTACAATCCTTTATTTTGCTTCTTAAAAAATATTAAATATAATATTTCTTAAAGGGCGCTGCTTCGAGATTTGCCACAGACACTGTTTCCCCTAGATACGCCTCTAGAAAGGGGGCAGTGGCAAACAGTTGATGGTCTTATGAATTAGGATCAGTGGTGGTATCACTTTTCGTTTGGTAGGAGCACACGTTTTTTCCCCTTAGAAAATAGTGTTAAGACAAACAATATTTTTTGCAACTATATGTATGTTTTTCTAAATAATTTCAATAATTTATTTCATGTTACTAAACCAAACAGTTTGTGCACAAATTTTAAAATTTTTGGCATTTAAGATTCAAACTATAAAAATTATGCTTCATTTAATTAAAATATAGTATGTATTAAAAAAAAACTAGAGTTTTATTATTATTTCAATTGAGAAAAAAAAAATAATTTCTTTTTCGAATTTTACGATATAAACACTTAATTCATCATATGAATAAATTTTAAAATAAAACTTTTGTGCTCATTTTTTTGACTATGAGTGGATTAAAAATTAAATATCTATATCCCAAATTAAAATATCGCCACTATTTAAAATTATAAAATTACTTTTTTTTAATTCTTAAAATAAACAAAATATAATTTTTAATTTAATGGTTTTCAAGGGGTTACCTGTGTATATGAATACATTATTTTTATTTACTTTTTCTTATTTCTTAAAACAAAAAATACGATATTTATCGAATTTGTTCTACAAATTATTTTATTACTACGAATTTTAATAATAAATAAAAAAAATCTAATAGTTTTAGAATTAATAATTTTATATGCAAACATTGAATTCTGGTTTGGTTTCTGTATATTTTCAATATTCACTATTTTAATGAATTTTGTAACATTTTCAAACATTTTAAAGTTTTATACACTTTAATTTAATTCATTTTAAATTAAAATTATATTTTTTCCTTGCACTTTTTAATGAAATTTAAGGTTACTTTAAATTTATGATTTCCTTTGATTTGCACCAGTAACCATTTACTACACAGGGAGTCTACGGCCAAGTAGATTTGAACTTCGGTTCTCACGAATGTGAGTCCAGTGCCCTGCCAACCAAGCTATCTCTGGCCCGATTTTATTTTTAAAACTGTTAATTTAAAAAAATTAAGAAGTTTATTAATAGAGGGATGCTATTAAATGATTATTTGTGTTATGTTGTCCATTGTATCATGAAATTGCCTTATAGTTTATTATTATTATTATTTTTCATTTCAGTTTGCAAGTGTTCCATCTGTATCATACACACCACAATATACTGTTGTAGATAAAGAACTTTACAAACAAAGTCTTGAGTTTCTCAAAGTAAAGAAAAGTCCTGAACCTTCACCGCCAACAATTGCTTGTTCATGAAGAAGTAACATAATGTTTATTAATCATACATTATACATATATACGCTGTGTAATTAGCATACGCATTCAAATAAACTTTAACCAAAATTTAAAAACTGTATAATTTTTCTTTGTTTTGTGTACTATGTGTAATAAACTTCTGAAATTATTTTAAAAAATGCATCTGTGGTATTTCATAATAAGTGCTTTTAACCCTTAAAGGACCTACCCCATATAAGTGGCATGACACTTTTTCTTACTGTGCCAATCTTATTGATTTTATTTTATCAATCTCACAAAATAATTAGTTTTTAAAGTTGACTGCTTTTGCTCTGGTCAAGTTATTTCTAAAAGTATGCTTTAAATAATGTATACAGAATGCAGTGTTCTCCCTAAGGGTGTTTAGCAAGGTGACCCACTCTGCTTGGTCTTTCATAAAGGTAAATGCGTTCTCCTTGCCTTTCTTGAAAAAAAAATGCTCTTTTTATTTTATTTTAAGAAATGAAATTGCAGTAGCAAAAATCAGGAACTTCTAGCTAGATATAATTAGCAAGATTAGTGCCCTTCAAATCTGAAGGTTCCCTTGTTTGTGAAAAAGCACCCTGTCCTTTTTAATCTTTAGGAAGATCTCTGCAGAATGCATAATTTTAAATATATTGATTTTTTTGAAAAAATTGCTTTACGATAGAATTTTCCCTTTGTTATTACGAATTTCAGACAAAATTTTTTAAATTTTTCTAATTGGTACCAGAAAAAACTCTATATACATGTGATGCCACAATAGGCATTTTATATTTTCTAGCTTTTAAAATTTCTTTAATTTCTTAAACTAATCTTTTTTAATCAATCTTAACTTAATTTTAATTAAATTAAACTTATTGTTTAATTAATTAAACAATTTATAAAACGCAAATATAAAATATTTTATTATTTTCTTAACAATCACTGTAACGGCTAACTTTTTATTTCAATAGAAATGTAAAACTCATTAATTCACTGCCACGACAAAATCAAACATTAAAATCTATTTATAACTTTTTAACTCTTTATTTCTGGTTGGCTTTATTTTTCGGCTACTTTATTTTTCGATAAATCACCAGTCTTGGATCTCTTCCCATGCTCCTAACTCTCTGTTGGGAACAATTCAATCACGTTTTAAATTGGCTTTTGATTAGACTGGTCATGGGGGATTTATCTCCATGGCCTGTCCTTATTAACATTATTATTCAAAATTTATTATTTAACTTAAAAAGTCTTATTATGAATAAAATATAATTTTATATCTTGAGCTCTAGAAATACTAAATAAAAGTATTATTATAATTATGATCCAGTTTTCAACTGTCATTTTTTACTATCCTGTTTTTCGTCACAATCTTCAATTAGTCAATTATACCAGTGTTCCCCAACCTTTTTATCACCGTGGACCTGTCAACTTTTGAGAATTTTAACCCGTCCGGGGGGGGGTGTTGATTGTTTATAATTTAGATTATGTTGATTTAATAACTTTAATTTAATTGTATTTAAACATCCCTTCAAAATAAAATACAGTTACACCAAAAAATAAATATAAAGTGATTTAACATTTTAACTTACTAGAACGTTAAATCAATGAGAACCCTGAGCTTGATTCTTTGCAATGAGACGGTTCCATCTGGGGGTAATCAGAGATAATGATACATTACAAACATTAAAAAAAATTTTAGGCACTACCTTGGGACCTACCTTTTAGGCACTTCCTCTGAAATTCTTCAATAAAAGGGTAAAAATCAATGCTGAATAATACAAAAAGGAAGTATTGACTGCATATTTATTGTTACACGCTGACTGTATCCCAAAAAAGATTGGATATTTCAGCAAGATTCTGCATCGAGCCACAGCAACACAGGCTTGGCTCCATGTCAATTGCCCAAAGTTTATCAAGCAGGAAGATTAGCCACCTTCTTCACCAGATTTAAATCTTTCAGACTTCTGTGTTTGGGGGATTAGATTCTTTATTGCGTAAATGGGACAAATTAATGGACCTCTTAAAATGATTTGTGCTGCCATTGAGCAATTGCTTGAGATATTATCTTTAGTAATCAATTAAGATGGTGGTCGATTCGAATAAAACCTTTCCGAGGTAAACTTCCATTTATAGTGTTCATCATATTTGTGTATTTATGTCTGTGCAATAAAATGATTTGATATTCGTAACATTATTTTATAGCCACCTTGTATATATATGTAATAACAGGGCTACATCCCTGTTATTGGTTATGTTTAGCTCAAATAAGTCAGTCGTGAGCCAAACTGCTTATTTAATAGTTTTATTTAAAGGTAGGCTGTTGGTGGTAATAGCTCACACCCATTTCTCCACACTGGAGGGGGTGGACAGCACTTTCGGACAATTCCGACAGATTTTATCAGGATCACATCATGTTGAAAGCGACACACAAGAACTATTGCTCCTGCATTATATACTAACAGAAAATGAGGTAAAAAGGCTCAGTCGCTGCATACCTTATAACCCTACGCATTATGGATAATCATTTACTGCTTCCTTATATAGAAGTGAAAGAGGGAAAGATTCTAAAAATAACTCCTTTGAAACATAAATTTAATTATTATTTATTAATATGTTTTCAGCCTTGAAGTCCCAAAATAGAATATCGCTACACTTATTCTTTGTCAAAGACATTTTATGAAAACGAAAGAGTTTTAATGCTTTTATTATTATATTATTATAAATACAAAAGTATTTATAATTTTTGTATTACATATATATATATTTGAAACTATAACATCTAGTACAATTTGTAATGCACAAAACTGAAAAAAGATTACAAAAGTTTTTATTATATCATTAATTAATAGATTATTGTTAGTCAATCAATAGATCCCAGCTTATTCACTTTTGTATGTGCATACTTCCTTAAACAAGAACTTCCTCACTAATGAAATGAGTGTATCAATGATGGTGATTTAACTTTAATCACCTTAAGACTTTAGGTCATGTGTTTCTTTTTATGGTGCTATGTCAGTGACAAGATATTGTATATAAACCATTTTTAACATTTTTTTTTTTTGTACTCATTGTAGTAAATGTAATAATTTCAAAAATAATCTATAAAATCGGATCATGTAACCCTGTATATAATTTGTTTTCCAACTGTCTTTCTATAGTTATTTATAAAGTAAAATAATTTGAGTTTTTCGTTGAGCAATTGATGGGGACGGCAGTAAAAAATCGTGAAATGGTCGCTGGAGCTAGGCGATATTTTTGGTCTCCCCGATATTTTAAAATGTGTGGTAAACACTAATGCCTTGCGCGCAATAGAATTGCGAGTTATATTGAAAAACGGTAATTATAGAATACAACATTATCATCTGTTTTGATAAATTTTATTTGAAAGCAAAAATTTTAAATGATGTAAAAGTAAAGAAAATTAGTTAAGTTGGTGAAATATCAATTTTTCTTGACAATATATATCCGGTGGTCACCAAACTGTGAAGCTGTAATCTCCTTGCCCACAATGGGCTGTTGCAAGAATGCTTTATATCGTGTTATTAAAATTTCAATGTTGCCATACTCTTGTAACCATTCTTCAAACTTCTAAAAGCAAAGAATAACGAATTTTATGTTTTCCTTTACTGGGTTGAATTTTGATTTTGAGAGTAAATTTCTCGAATAGAATTTTCTAATTCGATATGCACTTCTAAGTAATTTATTATAAAAAGTAATTAAAATAATACTTAAGGAAAATAATAATTGCTAGTCATTATATACTATTTCAGTTTGAATTTATTATATTCTAACTTTTAGCCAACAAGATTATTTTATTTACCTATATTTGCCGTTTCTTTTTCTATTTTGGCTCGCATCAAGCCCATTGACGACATGAAATAACCCAATGGTAGGCAGATGAGTAAGTCATTTTGCTATCGGGCCAATCAAAACCCCCCCACCCCGTTTTGAATGTAATTTGATTTTAGAACTCAAAAAGTCTCAAGCAGAAAAATTTGTCACAATGTTTGATCCTGGATTTTCCTCGCCCCCTCGGTTGGGTTTAAAATTAAGTCATTACAGATTTGAGCAATGATGACCCTAATCGGTTATCCACTGGTGATAATAAAAACTAATAAAAGGAATAAATATGTGATAAAAAGTTGTGAATATCAGTAGGACTCATTTGAGGTAATCTGTAATAGCAGGTTTTAATTACTAAATGGTTATTAAACTAAATATTTACTTTTTTATTACATAATTTGGATAATTAGTTTTCAAGTGTAAAAAACGATAATTTTTATTTCTCTCGAAGCTTAACCTGTAGGTTATGATACCAGGTGCACAGCGATCGTTATCAGGTCCGGATTACCCAATAGGCCATGTCCTGGGGCCCCCAATGATTAGGGGCCTCCTGAAAATTGATTTTTTTTTAAATAAATTTAAAAAAATTTAGAAAAACAATGATTTTTCAAAATGATATGATTATTTTTTAGTTCTAATTTAATAAAATAAAGTAAAATTTTATTTATTATTATTTATTTTAATTTTAAATATGCTTTCTGAAATGAAAAGATATATAAATACTTTTATATTTGAATAAATAAAAATTATACGAGAAAAAAAATTTCATCTGAGGGCCCCAAAAATTTGAATGGCCTAGGGCCCCGCATACGCTTAATCCGGCCCTGATCACTATGAATTGCTAAAATTTTCAACTTTTTGTAAATTTGTTTTGATTCACCGCAATTTGATTTTAGGCCATGTTTCAATTTGCCAAATGACTTGTGATTGAATGAAACCATAAATCTTTGTAGTTTAAGTAATAAAAAAAAAAGACATTTCGAGCGTTGTTATATTACCAGAAAATTACGAACTTTCGTTGCCGTTTAACAAAAACTGTTGCTGGCACTGTTGCCGAAGAATTGCGTCCTTTCTGTAAATGCAAAGTAATATTTATCTATAACCTTTTGACGCAGATGGGACACTGGTATCGCTTGTTCTATATGGGTGATTCTTAGGAAACATGACAATACGGACCAAAAAATTTCTTCAAATTTAAAGTCTTCAAAACAATCTAAATTTTTTTTTGTATATTTATTTAGTTACATTTATTAATATCTTACAGACA